AATTTTAGCATATCTATAAAGAAGGGAGTAGATTAACCAGCATTACTGACTTTTATAGAAGAGATAGTACATAGTAAACATTTTGTTCTGTGTGTTTGTGTGTATGGTTTAACCCAATAAAACCTTATTTCCTGCTTTTGTCAAGGGCCAATGGAGGTCAGCAGGGTGGCTCACCACCTGTGGCCAGCCATTTAGAGACTCCAGCTCCCTCCTATTTTCAATGTATGGCTTTAAGGACTCTTTCACTAGTAAGAGAAATCTGGCTGGTGGCTGGAGAGACAGAGAGAGAGAAAGAGAGAGAGAGAGAGAAAAAGGCACCAATGTTTTTAACCACCTTGGCCTGGAGATAAAACTCATCACTTCCATTCATATTCCATTGATGAGAACTAGCTTTGTGGCTCCATCTAGATGTAAGGGGAATGGGAAATGTAGATTAGCTTTGTACTCAAGTAGATAAGTTTGAGAGCAGCTAGCTCATCTGCCACAGTCTCATTTGCAAAATGGGAGTAATCGCTTCTGCCCCATAAAATTGTGGGAGAAAATTTAGATAATTCATCAAAGTGCTTACTTAGCACAGTGCCTCCTGAGGCATAGCAAGTGGTTCAATAAACAGCAAATATTTTTGACATTCCTAAACAAATTTTTGATTAGAACTAATACCTTTGTGGCATTCCATTCTTTAAAATCTATAATAGCTTCTCATTTCTTTTGAATAAAAAATTATTTACAAAGCCCTCTCTCATCTGGCCCCTGCCTACATTCCCAGTCTCTCCTCTCCATTCCTCCTTCACCTACATGATCCAGTTTCTTTATATTGGCCTTCTTCTGGTTCTCAGACCAACCTTTTTCCACCACCGGGTCTGCAGTTCCCTCTGCCTGGAAAGCTTGTACGCCAGCTCTTTATGTGGCTGGTTCATGCTCATCTTTCAGGTCTCAGCTCGGATATATCACTTCCTCAGAGAGGTCTGTCCTGACCATCCTACCCAAAGGAGCTTCCTCCAGCTATTTCCTATCTCATCCTCCCCTCATTTTTGTATCACAATCTGTCTTACTCATCTTTGTTTACTTGTTTATTATCTGTCTGTTCCATCAGACCTGTTGGCTGCTTGAGGCCAGAGGCTTGCTTTGTTGATAACTTTGTCCTCTATCCAACTAGCAGTGGTTCTCAACCTTCCTAATGCCGCGACCCTTTAATGCAGTTCCTCATGTTGTGGTGACCCCCAACCATACAATTATTTTCATTGCTACTTCATAACTGTAATTTCGCTACTGTTATGAATCGTAATGTAAATATCTGATATACAGGATGTATTTTCAGGGGTCGCGACCCACAGGTTGAGAACCGCTGATAGAGCTAAGCAAAACATCTAGTAGGTATGAAATAATTGGTGACCAACTGAATGAAGGAATGAACTCACTGAAGACAAATAGATCTTCTCAGCTGGGTCTTTCCCCTTAGCCTATCAACATGTCCACATGTTCCTATCATTATTTCTGTACAACGTCCAGGTAGTGGCTCTAACTCTGTCTAGCCTTCCCTCTCAGCCAAGCTTCCTGTAAGCACAGTCTATACCCAAGGCCATTTCCCTTTACTCCTGAACATATACTCTCCTCTAGCTTCTGCCCCGACCATCCCACAGAAACTATTCTTGTTTGAGGCCTTCTACTTACCAAATCCAATGCCTGCATCCTAGCCCCTACTCCACTTGTCTACTTGACACTGTTGAGTACTCCTCTCTTCCTGACACTCTTCTGCTTTGACTGCACACTCCTGTAGATACCTGTGTACAGTAGTGGTTATGAAACTGAGGGTAGTTTTGCTCCCACTGCCTGGGTGCGGGGTATTTAGCAATGTCTGGAGATATTTCTGGTTGTCAGAACTGAGAAGAAGGCTGCTAATGGCATCTAGTGGATAGAAGCCAGGGATGCTGCTAAACATTCTATAATGCAAAGGACAGCTTCCCATACCTCCAGGAAAGAATTATCTGGCCCAACCATAGCCGGTTTGGCTCAGTGGATAGAGCATCCACCTGCGGACTGAAAGGTCCAGGTTCCATTCTGGTTAAGGGCACATGCCTGGGTTGCAGGCTCAATCCCCAATAGAGGACGTGCAGGAGGCAGCTGATTAATGATTCTATCTCATCATTGATACTTCTATCTCTCTCTCCCTCTCCCTTCCTCTCTGAAATCAATAAAAATATATTTAAAAAAAGAATTATCTGGCCCAAAATGTCAATAGTGCAAAGGCTGAGAAATCCTAATGCATAGTGTCCTGTAGACACTTCATGCACAACATGGACATGTTTAAATCATTACCTCCCCCCCCCCCACTTACTCACTTATTTGTTATTCCTAATCTGATTAATAGCACTTAGTTTTATAAATCAGTATTTTGGAATCATGTTTTATTTCCATTCTCTCCTTAGG